ATGGATTACGTACTGTTTGAGCTGCTACTAATAATACTGCCTTTTAGATCTGCCTATTTGTGGTCGTTATATCCTAGTTAATAATTGTATATCTGACTAGTTGACCCGGTAGACTTCGTAGTGCCTCAATCGATAAATAAAAGACTTAAACTTTTGTATAAAATAAACTTAAAACAAACAAAAGGAATCCGTCCGATGGGGGACACATCAAAGGAAAAACAAAATTGTTATTTTTATTTAATTTCGAGCATTTTCATATTTATCTACCTTTCAAACCTTCTTTGGACTTCTACAAATAATTCAAGACCAAAATTAGCCAAATCGGTCCAGCCGTTCTCGAGTTTTAGCGAGACTAACGAACAGCAATTCATTTTTATAAATATAGAGATATAGATTTTCAAATTCGTAAGCCTTTAGTTTATATCTTAAGTGCTTTTTGCATTGTCTTGGAAATTTTTACCGCGAGCGAACAATGCTGTCTGGCTTGAAGATTAAGCATATCTTAAAGAAGGCACGCTACAACTATGTGTCTTAACATACATAGGTCGATAATGTCCAAATCAGGTTATCTTTTTTTTTTTTTTTTTATTGCTTAGATGTGTGGACGAGCTCCTAGCCCACCTGGTGTTAAGTGGTTACTGGAGCCCATAGACATCTACAGCGTAAATGCGCTACACACCTTGAGATATAGTTCTAAGGTCTCAGTATAGTGACAACGGCTGCCCCACCCTTCAGACCGAAACGCATTATTGCTTCACGGCAGAAATAGGCGGGGCGGTGGTACCTACCCGTGCGGACTCACAAGAGGTCCTACCACCAGTAAAGCTTTAAATGCTAATTTAATTACTTCTTTTTTTGTCTCGGATATGATTATTAAAGCAGCAGCTAAGCACCAGGTGGACATCTGATGAGTAGTGTAAGAATTATGCATCTTTCAAAAGTTTTGTATTCAGTCCAAGCAATTAAAATAAAGAAAAATTTTGCAACCAATATCCAATGTTTGTCCAACATACCCAACTTTACGAGTCGACTAAACTCGTAAATTCTCTGTTGGACGCGTGATATTGGTCAGAACAAACAATTACATTAAATCGTTTGCTGAAGACGCTTAGTACTGCTCACATCCAATATTTCGAGATTTTTTTACGACCATCGTAATCTTTATATTTTGTTTTGTGTCTTATATTGAATCTTTATGTTCCATAATAGATATTAATTTCATTAAAAATCGCTCAGGATTGTTTATGTTCTGTTGCCAAGTTTTATTTTCCAATGTTTTAGGCTTAAATTTTATCAGTTCTACCCGTTTCTACCATAAACCAATGGATTTAGATTTGAAGTTACAAAAATAAGAAGGACAACAACAAGGGTAGCTGGTTAATCACTAATGAGATGAATTATAAGTAATAGACATTTGAATCTTAGATTACGAAATAAACAATCAGTAGATCGTGATTCCAATAAGTTTTGACAGGGAAATCGTTTGTGTTTACAAAAGTAAATTATAATTAGCAGCCGTGACTAGGACTAGATGTATGCCGCGGGTCGACACTTTTCTATAGGTATTTAGATAATTCAACTATATACTGCATATGTTGCTGGAATTAAATATGGGCTTACTCAGGGACGTCTTAAACTAGGATGGGGCCCTTGGGCACACAAGAATTTGAGGCCCTTTTGGAAAGTAAAAAAAGCGAATTATAATAACATTTTTTTACTGAGTATGAGACCATTTATTATAGGTAATCAAATACAGTATGATATAATTTATGTCATTAATTATATTAGAATACTGCTGGTTTTTTGGTTACGATTTCGATAACGGTTTCTTTCGGAATTTCTGTTGAGCAAAATCTTCTATTATAGGCATAGTATATGCCTTGTAAATACCTTCTGATTACTGATTTGTGAAAAAAGTGTAATGTGCTTGACAAATATGTTTTGAGAATAAACGTGTGAGAGAAATTGCCGGTCTTTCGGGGCCCCCTGAGAATGGGGGCCCTGGGCACGGGCCCCGTGTGCCCTTATGGTAAAGACGGTATTGGGCTTACTGTCACATGTGATGTCATGGTTACAAAATAAACATTATTAACTTTTATCCCTATAATAGACACAATAGCGCAATTCTTAAATCAAACTGTTCCAATAGTATTTGCTTTGTGCTCAAACAATCGTAACTACCCTTTAATATACGAACTACCCTTTAATATACGGTATAATTGACATTGCTTAAAAGTAATTTAAAAGTCACAAACTTTATTTATTTATTTATTAGGCACGCAATACACATCACAAGCTAAAAGGACATAAAAACACAAGTAAAAAGAAACAAAATCTAGCTTGCAACATCAGCCATGTGCGCACGCACGCCTAAGCAAGACAAAGTGCTGAACTTGTACACAATGTTCCTTACAACTATACGACAAAACAACGCGATGACGAAAACGAATCTGATTTGTAATGTAAGGAAATGATTATATTCACAATATACATTAAACAATTACACTACTTAGTCGTCGCGGCCCGGAGGTTAAGACGTCCGGTGCATTCGTGTTGAGCGATGCATCGGTGTTCATATCCCAGGCGGGTACCAAGTTTTCTAATGAAATATTATGTACTTAACAAAATATGTTCACGATTGACTTCCACGGTGAAGGAATAACATCGTGTAATAAAAATCAAACCCGCAAAATTATAATTTGCGTAATTACTGGTTGTAGGACCTCTTGTGAGTCCGCGCGGGTAAACACCACCACCCTGCCTATTTCTGCCGTGAAGCAGTGATGCGTTTCGGTTTGAAGGGTGGGGCAGCCGTTGTAACTATACTTGAGACCTTAGAACTTATACCTCAAGGTGGGTGGCGCATTTACGTTGTATATGGGCCTCAGGGCCTATGGGCTTCAGTAACCACTTAACACCAGGTGGGCTGTGAGCTCGTCCACCCAACTAAGCAATAAAAAACTTAACCTCCATTAATTAACGTGGAGAATGCCCTAGAACATTTTTATAAACGTCACTAACCTACAAGTAAAAATATCCAACTCAAACCTTCATATCGTGTCAATATAAGTGACCGAAACGAGAATCAACGTAGAGAACTGCTTACTCGCAAATCCCGGGCCTTTATCTCAAATAGGATCATTGTTTCATGTACTGAAAAATATACCCACCTCAATAGAATCGGCTGGGGATCGAAGCGACGTCAGATTGTAAGATTATTATTCTTGACTCGTAGGGGTGTGTGCGAGATTGCCACGATAATAATTCTTGAAGTTTTCGCACCTTATATTATCGGATGGAATTATCCATGTAATTAATTTTCGGTAGATAGCCTAAAGAGATTATGAAAATATTTTATGTAATTTAATTTTTATTATTGTAGCCTGTAATCCCATGAGCTATTAGTACGTTTTAGTCCAATGGTTAGGAATTCCGTCACGAATTCACGAATGTGATCGGTAGTCATATACGGACTCGTCTGCCTGTTATAAAATGTTGATTGGAAGTGATGAGCTGATATTCTTGTGAATATCGTAGTAAATTATTAAGGATATCACCAAGAAGTCGCCGTGGACTAAAGTCGGGTAAAAAGCTCGATGTATTCTTATTAAATTATTTGCTTATTTACTGATGATACGGAGCCTTGTGATCCCACACGGTTAGATACCATAACTCTGCCTATTTATGCCACGAAGCAGAAATGCGTTTCGGGTATGACAGTCGTTTTACTATACGAAAGAGACTTAGAACTCATTATTCACGGTAAGTGGTGGTATTTTCGTCTTTGATGTATATGGCGATTGCATATGGATGTGTGGAGTAACTAGAATAGTAACTGAAAGTGGCACCTGTGACAGAGAAGCTGAGAAGTGCGCGTTTGGGATGGTATGGACATGTGATGAGACGAAATGAAAATGAGGTTGGTAAGAGAATGTTAACTACGAATGTGGAAGGATATAGAGGAAGAGGTAGACCTAAGAAGAAATTGATGGATTGCGTGAAAGACGATATGGGTAAGAAGGGAGTGAGCGAAGAAATGGTATATGATACAAGAGTATGGAAGGAGAAAACATGTTGCGCCGACCCCAGGTGACGGGGAGAAGGGCAGGATAATGATGATGATAATGATGGGCTCTAGCAATCTCCTAACACCGTGTGTGCCGTGACCTCGTCCACCCATTAAAACAAATAGAAAAAGGCTTTGTAAAATAACGTTGTTTCAAACGCCATATTATTATGCAAATTTCGATATGAAATATTAAAAATCGGACCATATGCGTTTATTGTCGTCGATAATACAGTCACCTCTATAATCCTGCAACGATATCGTCCATTTTTAAATCTCGTTTAGATAAGAGGCCCTTTGTACGGCAAATCCTGCGGGAATGAGATGTAGCAGAATCTACATATTATTTTTTGAATGGTACCTTATACCTGAGTCCATCAATATGGATTACGTTGAAGGACCCTTCTTCGATCCTGAAAAACGGGCCTTAAATAGAATTAAGATAGAAAGGTATGAAGTAATTTCAGGAATTCTGCTTTGATTTTGGTACGACTAATGTCCTAGGTACTTAACTATTTACTTGAGGAAGAACGGTAAATAAGTAAATCCCATTTCTCCTGTGTTATGGGTTATGGAGGTGATAAACGTTCGTAAATTAAAAGAAATTTTCAGAAACTGTGACAATCATTTATCTTTTACATTTGGACTTTGAATTGGAATCTGTAGGCTAAGTTCTACTTTTGTCAGATAGAAATTTTACACCTAGAATTCTCAAATTAAAGGCAGGACATAGAAACAAAAAAAAAACCCAGCGCTCTCCTCAGGATCTTTTGAAACCTATAGCATATTTTGACATTCTTTAAGTATGCTTCAATGGCATTTAGGTTTAAATAAGTTGGGTTCAAATTGTATTGAATATAGATAAGTCCTAATGACCATTTGATTGTAGGTATAGAAAAGTAACTTGTTGATTCAACTGTTTCTTTATTTAAAGGCAATGTGGAGGCTTTGATAATGGACCGATTCAGTGCGTGCGTCGCCTTGGAGCTAGGAGTTCACCAGATTTGTCTCCTGGAAGACCCGTGTCCAGACAGATGACTTGGAGAGTCACCAGTGCTAGGTAAGGTTTTTTCTAATTAGTATACAAGATGACGAGTTAGCTTGGTTCATCATCGCCTTACATAAACGGCAGATCAAACCGCAAAAGCGGTTATAGTTATATCTGCCACTCCCGAAAATGGGGGAAAATACACTGATGGCAATATTGTCTCACAATGCTTGGCGCATTTAATGTTATAGTATCGCAGAATTATAACAGAGGGCACAGAGAATGGGTCACTGCCCGTAAATTTTACACCTTGCATAAATTTATCCACTTTATCTCAGTTTAAATTATACAGTTGTTACTTTAATAAAATAATTGTCAATTAAAAACGTATAAGCATATAAGTTATAATTATTTTATAATTACTTTGTCGGTACAATCATCAAATCAATTTTCGTAACAAGTACAATACGTAAATACAAATAAAAAGTAGATACATAGAAAAAAATACTAAGTACATTTTATTACTATTATCTGACTCGGTGGTCCTGTAGTTAGAGCCCATGATTATTGCGCTGAGGTTCGTTGATTCGGATCCCACATGGGGCAAGCATTCGTGTAATGAACGGGTTTGTTTGCTCTTTTTTGGGTGTCTATTATCTATATATTGATATATATATTTAAACGTATATATGTATGTATGTCATTCTCTGGTACCCATAACACAGGGTATTCTAATTTGGGGCTAAATGATCGTACGTAATTTATTCCCAGTTATTTATTATAATTATTCAAATCTTATAACCTTTCAATAATATTAAGATATTTTTTTGTCGCTTGGCTTTTTTGTCGCAAGATTATAGGTATTTGACAGGATTCACGCGATATCTAAGCGTCAGTAAAACTGGTCGTAGATTTATGCTTCGCTAGAAACAGATAGGGCGGGACATAAACCCTCGCAAATTACAAAATTACTTTATCACTGGATACTGGGTAAAATAGCGATAGTGGAATTTATAAGCTTATTTTCGTAACCAGATCACAAAGGAACAAGATCGGGATGAGCGTGTCTCATCCGCAGTTAAGCTACATGAATGGCTGTGGTACTGGCAAATCTAAGAGAAGAGGACACGATGTGGCCACACAGACTCCACCGAGCATAGCAGCAGAAACAAGAAGAGCAAGGTTGAGGCCGTTGAAGTTGACCCTGGCTACTCCAAATGCTTTGACTCTAAGGTAAGACCGCTTACTTCCAAGAAAAGGAGGTTCAATTGCGCCACATGGATAGCTCTTAGCATTATTGAATCTTGTTAATGCTCTAAAGATTGATAGTTGTAAAGGATTACAACAAAAATGCATATGTTCAAAAACTGTACATGGTACTAACGCTATTACTGTACAGCGGAAGCTAGTGACGATTTAGGAGATTCTCTTATATAATGTATGCTTTGCTTTGGACAAATTTTTAAAGAGTACTGTCTCCGACATCGATATTAACCGCGAACGACTGATTATAAGGACTTTTTTTTTTCGCCCTTGTAGGTGGACTAGCATACCCCACCTGACGCCCACCTGATGGTGAGTGGTTACCGTCGCCCATGAACTTCAGCAATGCTAGGGGCAGAGCCAAGCCATTGCCTCCGTTGAATAATTTAAAAAAAAAACATGTATTTTAATCATATCATTCGTAATGAACGCTCATTGGAACGTTTAGTGGTTCAAGGAAGAGTAGACGGTTAACGCTCTCACGGCCGATCATCCACAAGGTGGACAGACTTGATTAAGTCATCTACAAAGTGTTACCTTACTGAATGTACATGTACCGCCACAAATAGAGAGAGATAGAGAAGTCTCTCAAATTCCGCAAGCAGGCATTACGACCTACGTAACCACGACCACTCCGCCAGGAGTGTACGACTGAGAAGAAGAATTTTGATCACAGATTATGACCATGCACCTACACCATTTGTGGTTAGGGTGGAGGAAAAATGTAATGTCAAGCGGGAACACACTTTCTTTGACACATCTTAAATTATACACGAATGACTTTCTTGGGCCGATAAAATATCTTGTTGAAAGAAACAATACGAAATCGACCAAGAATATCGAAAAAAAGCTTACGTGTTTCAATAACAAACAAAAGGTATTGGACTCATTCCCTTGTGTGGCTTTTTGATTGAATCTTCACAAGGCTGGTCGCGATCCCACAGGACTCATTTTTCATACTACACAAAGACATTGTATAAGAAAAGTTGGTATTCGAAGTATGATCACATTCTTTAGGATATCATAAGATTTTAAGTCGGTATAAAAAAATATCTCTGGAATCGTATAAAAGATTCGAAAGCATGCCGATCTTTTTATCATTTATTTTGTGCAGTAAATTCAATGGAGAAACCGTATTTCATATATTACAAGATAAATAAAAAAAAAACTGTTCATTGTAAGCCAAATAACTTTTTTGATAATGTAATTTTCACGTTAATTTTAGACGGAAATATGAGACGCAGAAGTGAATTTAATTTCAATTTTAAATATGACAATGAAGTTCTGGATTGTTCCGTTATAGAAATTCATTTATTTTTAAGCGCAATTATAAAAATTAGATGCCGTTTTACAGTTCGATAAATAATATTTTACTAGTTTCGTCAATTAATGATTTTACGGGTTGCTATTGCTGGTTATTGCTTCTATACTATTGAAAACAAATTCGACAATATGCGTGTGCTTAAAAAATCAACAATAAACTTAAAAAAAAATCGATTCTCTTTTTTATTTCATAGGATTGTTTTTCAACAAATTACCGTTGATATCTATGTGCTACTTCCATACGAAAACCCCAATCGAAATCATTTCACGAATTTAACACGATGAATAATTTATTTGGAAACCTAGGGAATCAAAGAACTTTCTGGATTATTATTGTGTTATGTTCATTCGTCACGGTTGAGGAATCATAATGAAGTTTCTGACATCTATTATATTGTCGAATCGAAAACAAATTTAAAGTTATTAAACGAGCTCACTGAATTCAATGTTTTATGCGACCCGAATGAATAATATAACTAGTTTTAGATATTAAAATCATTGTTGAAAATATTCCGTTTTGGAATCTATAATACCTTTAAGCTGTCATAGCATGTATTTCTCGAAAGGGTTATTATGAAATGAGATCCTGAATAAGTAGAAAATTAGCCAGAAATTTAAACTAATGAATAAGATAAGAAGACACGTCCTTACGGATCCATCAGATCCAATAACTCTTGCCTTCAGCTCTAACACTAGGAGCAGGCTAAGGGACCCCGGAAACCATACTCGTCGAACTCGGCAAAGGGTTCGACGTGCAACCTAACCCATGCATCAGCCCGCTGAGTTTCTCGCCAGATCTTCTCAGCGAGTCGTGATTCCGATCCGGTAGTAGATTCATTCGCAAAACAGTTGCTCTTGAGTTGTTAGGTCTACTTCGATGGCACTTGGGCAGCTGTTAGCAAATCCCACCCCTCCTGGCTGAGCCTTTGCTTGCCCACCTGTCCTGGTGAAACTGGAAAGGCATCCGGGCCACCAGTAATCCATCAATCATAAAAAAAAGATAATAAGAGTAATTGTGGAGTATGTATTGAAAATCTTGAAAATTATAATACCACTAAATAGACCTACAAAACGGCTATTTATTATCTAAGTAGTCATGTGTTTAGGCACGGATAGTGCAAAAATAACAGATAGTCTTTATTTTCTTGAGGAAGTGGGTGCGCGCTTTCTGAGATGTGTCTATTTTATCTACCTAAGACGTAGCAATTAGGTGTGAAAGGTGTAGGATTTTTCTCTCTTCATAGTATCTGAAATTGATTAGATTTTAATATGCAATTGTTTAAAACAACCCAACAGAAACAATTTTATTCAATACTCAAGAGAAGTCAAATGTCAAAATAGTTGGGCAGAAATGAAAATCAATTAGTTTAACTAAAACAATACAGATCAGAAAATTATTCCAGATATAAAAAGCCCAAATTAGGCAGATCAAAATTACGATAGGGTAGCCGTTTTAGGTTTAAAGGTTAGATGGTGACGAGAAAACCATTTGAGTTTAGGTACAAAAAATCGGAAAGAAAGCAATTTTGATATCCATTCATAAAAAAAGTAGTAGAAATTAAATAAATAAAAACCTGAAGCTCTACAAATACTGACGATAATTAAAGGTCACTTTACTTGCAGATTTTTAGCGAACCGCAAAAAAGGAAGATCTCTATCAGCCAACGCAGTAGCCAACGAACAGAAAGCAACCAAAGTGTTGGGTTTGGTTTTCTTCACCTTTGTCCTGTGCTGGGCTCCGTTCTTTCTACTTAATATTCTATTTGCTGCCTGTCCTGCCTGCATTGTACCTGGTAAGTTTCAAGTTTACTTTTTGTTTTTAAGCCCTAGACTGCTAGTCCTATCGTTATGTCGTAAAATAATAATGGCTTTCAGTTTCTACTGTGGAGTTTCGAAAATAGCTTCAACTTGGTGTCCAAAGATAGCTAGTGGCATTCGGATTGTCCATTATCAGTGAAAGCTAGGCATCTCGGAAGTTCATCTGACTAAATAGTCAGATGAACTTCCGAACTTCCGATGAAACGTAAATACGTAAAGAAAGAGTTGAACAAAATTGTGTACAAGTCAAGTCACAAACATGTCTAAAACCAATGCGGAAATATAGTTTATTACAGAGTTTGGAAGAAAATTGTGGAAAATATTCTCAAAAGTTTTTTGAGGATGGACACAGCGTTAGAAATCAAAATGATTAACGATTTCAATTTGTTTCCAGAGCACGTGGTCGACATCTGCTTGTGGTTGGGTTACGTGTCTTCTACCATCAACCCTATTATTTACACGGTCTTCAATAGGACGTTCAGAGCTGCTTTCCTGAGACTGTTAAAATGCCACTGCACCAGGTAAGCATTTTGCATAGACTAGTGTTCGGTAAACTTATTAGCCAAAGAGCCAAAAATGAACATTCCAACAATAAAAAAAAAATTGGTAGCCAAATCTACTTGTTTAGTGAACTCTTATTACACTAAATAAGTACACTAAATTCAGAGCCGCACTTAAGGAGCCAAAGAGCCACATGCGGCCTGCAGCTCTGGACCACTGGCATAGGCACATAGTATTATACCAAGTATTTGAGAGCTTCATTGGTCTAGTGATGTACTTGTTACTACTTGCCTTGCGTATTCGTATGAGTGTATCCGATACCAATTCCATATGTCAAAATCCTAGTTTGGAGCTGTTAAATTTGGGACCTTTAGAATATATTCCTAATTCCTATCTGTTGTGAATATCTGAATTTGTTGATTAGATACACCGAACAGAGCTAAGGAGCTATGTCTTCAACCGTGTTTCGCCGTAATTTAGATTTTTGGTCATTTCAATTTCTCTATAGAAATAGCTATTAGATATTTGAATTAAGAGATCAAGGTATTCTATAACAGTTGAGAAAATAAATTCAACTTGAAATGATAAATTCAACTTCTCAGTCAAAAGAATACGAACAATGAAACTATAGCTGCGATACAAAACAACAAGCAAATCTACATATTTATTGTGGCTTATCGTAGGACTTTCAAATTATTTCTAGAAAACTGTTTCATGATTGACTTGTTATAGAGACTAGAAAAATTTGGGATTTATTTTGAAAATTGAACCCAAATATAAAATCCACAATATAAAAGAAGCTATTATGTTTTCTTCAATCTCCCAGATTGAACACTAGTTATAAAGCCTAGAATAAATGAATGAGTTATTTTGTTTCTCCTAAAACCTTTTGTAGTTTACTTCAAAGAATTTTATCGCTTCAGATCAGTATGAATGTTTTTAAAAACAATATTTTGATTCAGAACGAATACTTTATGTTACGTTAGATTAATGTTTTTATTTTTCCTACAATATTAAATAATTTTAATGTAGGAAACTACAGAAAAATGATCTTCTGCCCAGTGAGTGTTATTGCTAGACAGACAAACTGTCCGAATATTGTTAATAAGTTTTTGTTTATTTATATGCAAGCCTATCTTATAAAATATGTTGTTAGCACATGATTAATTATACTTATAGTTTGGCAAATTCATTAAAGCATTTTAGATGTAATAATGTCAAGCCTTCGATTTGTTTGTTCTTCCTCAGCATTAAGCCACCCAATCCTGAATATAGGTCGTTTTCGTGCATTTAAATTTCTTACGGCCTTGTAATGGGTGTACATAACCCAGTTTTCACTATGGCTCTAATGTAAATATTGGTCCATCTCATTTGTTGCCTCTTTAGATTTTAATTTTATTACTAGATTCGGAAATTTGTTTGTATAGCTAGCAGGTATAAATGAAATAGTAGACGATATGAAATAGTAGACCAAATAATTTAGTAGATAAATAAATAATTTAAAACTCTGTGTGAGATCTTATAGTGCCAAAAAATTCACCGACTTCCTGTAGATTATACGCATTCATTACAGTATTAGCATCTCTTAATGTATTTACATTAAAACATCTATCTTAATTAAGAACACAATAAAGTTCTTACGCCAGACATAAGCTCTTACGGCATCCAAAATCTAGAGACCACGAGACCCTTGTTCGAATTGAATACAAAAGCTAAAATCTCCCGCAATGCTGAAGGCGGCTCCGATGAACAAAATGGTCTATTAAGTTTATTTATTATTATGCCAGCGGTTTTCTAAATTGAATTAACGAAATGTCTTTTACCTCGCTTTAAGGAGATAATTAAATTTTACAACGGTTCGGAGTGGAGAGAGAGGGTTGTTATAATTTTTGGTCTCGTGTTTTTTACAGTTCATTTTTTTTTTTTGTTTAGATGGATGGACGAGCTCACAGCCCACCTGGTGTTAAGTGGTTACTGGAGCCCATAGACATCTACAACGTAAATGCGCCACCCACCTCGAGATATAAGTTCTAAGGTCTCAGTATAGTTACAACGGCTATCCCACCCTTCGAACCGAAACGCATTACTGCTTCACGGCGGAAATAGACGGGGTAGTGGTACCTACCCGTGCGGACTCATAAGAGGTCCTACCACCAGTGATTACGCAAATTATAATTTTGCGGGTTTGGTTTTTATTACACGATGTTATTCCTTCACCGTGGAAGTCAATCGTGAACATTTGTTGAGTACGTATTTCATTAGAAAAATTGGTACCCGCCTGCGGGATTCGAACACCGGTGCATCGATACATACGAATGCACCGGACGTCTTATCCTTTAGGCCACGACGACTTCGTGTACTAATGTATTGAGCAGTATGTGTTTTGTATTCCTAGTATATTGTATGTATTTGTGAAGTGAATTTCACGTTATCCGTTTAAGCTATTGGCGCTTAAAGTCCAAAATCCCATACTTCAATTGCTGGGATTACTTTCTGTCACGAAAACGAATTGACGAGATTATATAATGGCTTATTTTGTCAGTGTCTATCAAAGGACCTTAAGGATGACGGAACCAGGCAGATAACGGTTAGCGAATTATCAACAGGTAGGAATACCTAATTGTATAGACATACTAAAGCCGTTTAGCATCTTGGGTTATCAGATCAGTATATTATTGGCACTACCAGTCCTCTAGATTATAATTAAAGGGAGGAAAAAATCGCTGTTTTCTAAAAAATCACTCAAGTGACATCCTTAAGCATCCTTAGCATAAACAACGCTAACAAGTTAAAAAACTCGAGAAATTTACTAATTTCAGCCTTCACTAACTAATTATATACCTAAATCGATATTATTATGTCATCTGTTTTTCACATATAAGAATTCGATACCAAAATAAACGAACAGCTATGAAATAAAGATAAGCTGAATGCCCGCATGTATATGTAGTTACAGGAGTCTATAGATATCACAATATGAATGGCGATGTCCATTCTTGCAGGATTTTAATAAGTCCCATAAAAAGCATTCCGGTTTGATGGAATAGCTCCTATGCAAGATAATTTCGACTTATACCAAATGTCTCAAAGTGGATTAAGTTCCAGTCCATGATGCTTAAAGACTTCGGTGGCCAATGAATACTAGGAAGCTCTTCTCGCTATCTGCATCAATGAAATAGGAGGATATCATTGTGCAAACGGACAACAAACTGTAGCTTTTAGAGTAGATATTCGTAACATAATCACATCGAAACACTAATTCATTTAGGCATTGTACTGCTGTCACGAACAAACAAATGAAGCAGAGGAGGATATAATTAATTTGGTTATTAACGTTTACTTGCACTCAGCCCTTTGTATCAAAATCTGTTGTATCAAATCGCTTTGTCCTCTCGAATCTCTTGTTCGCAATTATTATCAGGTACGGTATGTTCTGAATTTTGCATTTAAAATTAAAATGTTTTTAAACGTAGTGTTATTTTATTAGGTGATTTAAAGTCGTAAAACATAGGGGGTACCCAGAGGGTAAAGGAACATGCGTAGTGTCAGAAAGTTTAATGCCTATGACGAATGTGCGTTATTTTATTTATTTATACTTTATTGCAGCTTTTTTTAAAAACCATAACATTTTGTTAGTAAGAATTACTTATAATCTATGTTAGTAATTTAAAAATCTAACACATAACTATCAGACATACATTATATAAGATTACATTTTTTTTTCATTCCAAGTGCCTGCTGCAAATGCTATTAATCATAATGTTATAATAATAATTATAAAGTTTCCTATAAAATTGGTGAGATATGTCAACCGTGACACAATCAAAGTAAAATGGAGCACGTGAAGTAAAATTAGGAAAGCCTTTAAGCAGTAGTGGTATGGACAGCAAAACTCTAACGATTAGTCAGTGCAAAAAAAATGTCGTTTTGTTTAAAACAAAAACTTTTTACCAAATGTTAAGTCTAATCGAACTTGTTGGCACCTCCTGATAAAACAATCCCTGGACAATTCCGGAGTCAGGCCCAAAGTAAACGAATTGAAAAATCGATATATCGCGAAACTTATCTCACCTGTGTCTCGAGAGAGACCATTTAGGGTCGGTAAATAGTTCATAGTTAATACAAACTATGATACTTCCGAAAGAGACTTGTAATTTTGCAAGCCTTATTGTTTGAGCTGTATCTACAAGTGTATGGTGACATTAACATTATGAGGTCTATACTTTAGATCTCAGTGACTATCTATACTAATATTATAAAGAGGAAAGATTTGATTGTTTGTTTGTATTGAATTGGCTCCGAAACTACTGAACCGATTTAAAAAATTCTCTCACTGTTGGCAAGCTACACTATCCCCGGGTGACGGACTATATATATTGTGTTTTCAAAAAAATTAGGGATCCTTACTGAAACACCAATAATGTAACCCAATGTAAAAAAATTACTTACAATTCTTTACTTCCCGTGCGCTACTACCCAAGCGAAGCCGGGGCGGGCCGCTAGTATAATATAAAGTGAGCTTATCTACTCTTCAATTCAATTTATTCTGCTCTCGAACGTTCCTTATGTGGCTATTGAAGCTTTCAAAATAGTAAGGTAACATTGCTGAATAATTTTATTTTTCTCCAACAGACGCGGTAGATGCACCAGATATCATTCAGTTGGTTCTACCCGTGGGGCTTCACAGCTATGCGCAAGATCAGCACTTCCTCTGGCCATCTCCCTGCGACCCTCGGGGCTGCCCGCTCCCACACCAGCTGCGCAGGACACAACGGAAACAGTCCTGATGGATCCACCGCTCGGTGAATTCAATATGAGATATTAGTACCGGAATGACAAGCTACGTTCATCTTTGCATGTATTTTCCTCCAAAGATACAAGTAATGTGATTGTTTTGTGCCAAATTTATATTCTAATTTTACTCACTATAAGATTCGTCGGTTTAGCGACTCATTCGAGAATCATCCGGAAAAAAGATTGTTTTATGTGAACGATGAACTTTCTAGAAGATTATCTCACAATTATAGGTAGATGGAAACTTTGTGATCGTTATGAATAGGTTTCTCTTGTCGCGTGCCATGGATTGACGCTCCCTTAGCGGCAACTGTAGAAGTACTTTAAACTTATAAGCATTTCTGTTTTTAGTACTTTAAACTTTTATCAGTATTAGTAAGTTATAATAGATAATTAATTAAGTAGTAGTATATAGAGTGTTTAAAATAAGTTACTTGCCCAAATATAGGTACTAGTTATTCATGTTTTATACAATAATAAATGTGCGCCGTTGTTTTATCCGCGGCTTTATTCCGAAACTAGCTGTACCCGTACGCTTCGCTGGGCATTTAAAATTAACATTATTATTTCTCACCACCACAAAGATTCTCATCATTAACGCCCCCGCAACTGGTGTAGAGAGTCCAACACTCATATAATATTAGCCTATCCATTAAGTACATGTATTTTCTACATGGATACCAAGTTTCAAGTCAATCGGATGCATGATTCAGTAGTTATAACGGAACATCTGTAAAAACCACTGTAGGTTTATATATTAGTATAGATAATTCAATACAATTCATAAAATTATACAATTTTTCATTAATATCTCTTTATGACGTTATCACGTAAAACTATCGTTCGTAAATTGATTTTACGGACAACCAATTTTTTATTATAGCATATATCACGACATTTTATCAAAATCCCTTTAAATATTTCGGCGTGATTGTGTAGCAAACATCCAAATAGACAAACTTACATATTAATAATGAGTTAGCATACGGAATTAACAGTAACACGACACAATATCGTCTTGGGCCTCATGCTCCAATGTCGGTGGCGCTGTGGTGTGGTCCACTGTGGTATCCAGGTACTAGCTGAACCGTACTCATTTTTTGCCTACCTTACCGTTAGCATACCGGGCTATTCTGGCTTTACTATGACTGGTGGGTAAGTGAGGCTCAGCCCGAACGTGTCTTAGCAAGAGCAGTGCTCCGCTGAATCTACCATTAGATCAGAAACGCGACCCGTTGAAAAGATCCCGCGAGAAATTCAATGGGTTGTCGTGCCCATTTAGATCAATAGCATGAGTAGACGAGCGAGTTTAAAACTCTCTAAGCTACAATGATTACTTCACGTGTGAAGTCTAACCTTAAAAAAACATGAGTATCTCCAACAAACTCTTAGCTTATGGCCTACTTCAATCTACACGTACATGAACCTTTATAGTAAATACTATGAATACAATAAGTAAGAAATACAAGTATAGTTACAACGGCTGCCTCACTCTTCAAACCGAAACGCTTTACTGCTTCACGGCAGAAATAGGCAGGGTGGGTAGTACCTACCCGGACGGACTCATAAGACGTCCTATTACCGATAAAACTATTTGTTGTAAAAATGAATGTCTCGCACTTTGGGGTAATTACGCTTATCTCATTGACGAACCGCTCTATGACCTAATGTTTCTTGTGACAATTGTTTGGCGACATAACATAAAATATAGTCTTTTTTTATATATCTATTACATCGGTAACGTTGTTTTATTTCTATTCACGTACATAGCCCGCATGAATAGAATATGATTTTGTATGACACTCAAAAAAATAAAATTTTAGTGACTCCAGTGGCTTCTAAATGATTCCAGTTCGTAATGTGTTTTTAAAAAAAAAAACGTGTAGGACTCGGGAACTGCCGCGGTAAAACTATTGCATAGCATTTTTTATCAACTTATGCAATTATAATTAGACAATGATAATTTAATATTAAAACAATAATAAAACAAGACCACGCTATATTAAACATTAATAAAAGCAAAACCTTAACTGTCCCCTTCACACTCATAAGCTACGCGCGAGAGAGAGAGATGGGCAGATTTTCAGGGTGCGCATGCAGTGTGACGTCACGCCACGCGCTTCTTGTGTTGAACGCGAGCTACATGGCAGGCGGAGTGAGGGGTATAAGGTTTTTTTCGTTACGGAATTTCATGATTCGGTCGCCGCGCTCAAGGCCCGCGATAAAAGATATGCAATAGCTTAAAAAAAAGGTCTAGAAAGAAAAATATATTCAACGAAGATGCATCAAGGTTGGTAAATACAGGGATAAAGTGTTGCCAGATTCTCCTCTCCGTGCCAATATTTCGTTTACGTGATTTACCTCAGAATGTTAGGATTTACGTAACGTACCCACTGAATTTATTATGACGTGAAATTTGAAGTTACGCGAATATGTACCTACATTTTCCCCTTTGTTTTGTTTTGTTATTGTAAAATTATCAAACGTGTAATTAGGAAATTTTGTGACCTTTATTGAAAATCAGGCAGGTTGTGAGACGGAACAGCGGCCGAAGCGTTCATGGTCGTATCGGTAAGACTCGCGATGACGATAAGATTCGCATAGACCGTTGTGATTGTTCCAGATCTCGATTTTTTTGTTCCTTTATTGATGCACAAAACAAATCACAACTATAGAAATTATAAGTTTAAATATTTAATATAACAATCTGGATTGCAATTCAGAACACGTGCATACAGAAAAATTATAACTGAACAAATGCCTATATAGCTTGTGTGTGTATATATTTACATACACACATACGCTCACACACACACACACACATAAACACACAAATACACAGACACACACACACATGTGAGTTACTATCTAATAAAATTTAATCTAATGTATCATTAGCTGGACTATATTAATTATTTGAGAATAATGTTTAACTAATTTACAATATTTAAAAAAAAAAGCTATTTTCAAATATATCAAGATTAGTGTTGTTACTTGCCAACTCATTATAACGTCGCGCCATCCTAACAATAGGATTAAAGTGTGAGATGTTGTTTTTGTGAACTTCAATTGCAAACAGATTAGTGCAATGTGATCTACGCGCAGTATATCTGGTATTTAAAGTATTATTTCTCGCAAACAAAACATACTTGTTTTAAAACGACTCAGTCATTAAAACAATGATAAAGCGTCGATGTTAGAGAAATAAAACAATATATTATTTACGATAAACATTTTATTATTGTTATAAAAATTACATTCAACTGACAATTAACTTGAATCGATGTTCCGAGATTCCACGAAAACGTCGCGCCCAAACTCAATAACTGCCTACAAAAGTTTGTGATCTCAAGATTAAGTTTCAATAAGCCGCCAGAAGTTCGACCGCGGCCATTAGCTTAAAATACAAGTCTTTTTGGGCCAAATAGCTTTTTTATTTGAGACGAAATCGCTCAGTCTTTTAGTTTTTAATTGAAAACTTTTGGTGTTCGATATAAAATTAGCTTCTTATACCGGATTTACAAAATTAGATGATTAGTCAATAAGAACATAGCGTTGATTGCGCTATCACCGATCCTTTTTTTAATTGCCCTAGTAGGCAGACGAGCATACAGCCCACCTGATGGTGAGTGGTTACTGTCGCCCATGGACTTCAGCAATGCCAGGGGCAGAGCCAAGCCGCTGCCTACAAAGCTGCCCCTCCTTTCACTGTAATGCCCAAGACAACTCTACCGGGGTTCATCACAATCGAATGTATGGCTTAAAATCACATAGAAGACAAACATATTATAAACATTAATATTGTATATATTTAAAATCAAAATAACGACACCGATAATGTTTTTTTCTTAATAAAATCTAAAACGCAACTATAGTTACATGTATTTTTAGTATTCCTGTTTATAGCCACTAACGTCATCTTTGATATACTGTTAAACAGATTAAGAAGTCCATAGACATCACAACGTATACGTGCCTCCTTTTTGTTGTTGGTAGAGCCCATATTGACAGGTGCCACTGCCCTGCCCATTACCGCCGCGAAACAGTCCAACTTAATTGCCGGGGCAGCGGTTGTACTATACTTAGAACTTAGGCTTAAAATTCATATCTCAAGGTGAGTGACGGCATTTGAGTTGTTGATGTCTATGGGCTCTCGTAACGAGTTAACACCAGGTGAGCCGTGAGCTTGTCGAAGAAGAAAAAAACCATAAAAACAATTGTAAGTTTCATGAATTTATTCGTATTAGTGGAAAAAAAATATTTATTCATAAATAGTCTTATCTAACCTTAAGTAGACTTAGTATTCAAAAGACGTTCAATTAAATATTTTTGTGTATTAAAGATATGAATGTGTAGTAATTAAATGGTGATGAAAACTCTATATATGTTTTTAATTACTCCAAATTCTTTTCGATCATGATTGCATTTGACTTGATTGATTGATTGTGTATGCTCTACTGTACACTGAGATAATAATAAAAACAAATTATTTAACCTTAATCAATCCACACAAAAAGATGCTATGAAGTTTATTTTTTTATTTTTTTATTGCTTAGATTGGTGGACGAGCTCACAGCCCACCTGGTGTTAAGTGGTTACCGGAACCCATAGACATCTACAACGTAAATGCGCCACCCACCTTGAGACATAAGTTCTAAGGTCTCAGGTATAGTTACAACAGCTGCCCCACCCTTCAAACCGAAACGCATTACTGCTTCACGGCAGAAATAGGCGGGGCGGTGGTGCCTACCCGTGCGGACTCACAAGAGGTCCTACCATAAGTAAAAATTTTTGATACCTGTATTGAACCATGTGGACCTGTTAGATTCAAATTATGACCGACGAAATAAATATGAGCGAAACAAATTCTGTGTACATATCCTCAAAAACTCTACATTACATTATACTACACAAAGCCCTTTGTGAGCTCTTTAGTTCCACCCCGAGGTCGATGCGAAACGAAGGGATAACAGCTTTATTCTCGAACTTTTATCGTGTTACGTACTAACGAACCGAGAATTCAACGAATAA